AATTTGGTAAATGCCTTTGTCTTTCTTTAGTGGCTGTACTGTCTGTCACACCTGCCAGCCCAGCATGGAGGCAGCCAGAGACAGGACGTAAGTGAAGCAGCACAGCCGTGCCGGTAAAACTTGATTTATCATGGATACTGATGTCTGAGTTTCACATAGTTTTCATGTGTCACAAATTAGGGTTCTTTTGGCTTTTCCCAATCATTTAGAAATACAAAAGCATTTAACTTGCAGCCATACACAAACGCGGGCCATCATTTGCCAGCCCCTGTTCTCGGCAGTCTTCTAGACAGAGATGGTGCAGTGATCGGGACAAAGTCCCTGTCCTCACAGGGCCTGAATTCTGGTCATCTTCAGGACTTTATGTATCACTGAAGCTGATCATTGAAAGACCGTTGCCTTTCTTAGTGAAAGGAAGCTTTCTCATCGGACAGTTGCCATGTTTTAACTCGCCTGACTTCGTTAAAAGTGAATTTGGTACTTAAATCTGGGTAGTGATATCCTTGTCGTGAACTGTGTCTCTGTGTCGTGTTGTCCTCCAGCCTCCCTTTCTCTGCCCTGCTAACACCCCATCACCGAACCTGCCCAAGGCCACTGGGCTCAGCACTGACCCAGTCACAACCGTGCTTGGAGTCCTAGCACAGCTTCTCACTTCACCTTCCGAGGCGCAGCAGCCTTAAGGCGCTTAACTGTCACTGTCACCATTGTGGCCCGTCTCAAGGTACCGGACAGAGTGCTGTGTGGAAGGGCTGCCTCTTCCTGTTGTGCCCTTGAGTCCTCGCTGCAGTGCTGATGCAGGGCTCTTTCAAGGCAGTTTTGTAACAAACAGGCCCACGCTTTCTGTTTGCAGTAGCTATGGAAACTCTAGAAGCTCTCTTTCTAAAGCTAAGCATACAAGAAAGCACTTCAAGTGTTGGTAGGATTAGAGGCTTTAGAAGATGTTTAATTTTCTCCCCCACTCCTCCTTTCTTTCTCTCTCTTTAGAGAGGGAACAAGAGGGCGATGTGAATATTAACTGGGACTCGCTTTAATCTCCCTTGTGACACTCGAGGCTGTCTGGGTCTGCAGGGCTAGCAGGCTCTCAGCCTTTCACAGCGGCTAACAAGGAGCGTCATGCATATTCATGATTCATGAGCCAGCCTCGTGCATTAGACACAGTTCCTGCAGGCTGTGCTGCCGCCTCTCTCCTTTCAACTCAAATTTCATGAAAGGAACAACTAGTAAAATTTGGTTTTTAAATTGTGGTTAAGTCAGAGACCCGGGACAATGGGGCAGAAATGTTCTCACCGGAAATAGGGACAAATCAAGGGACCTTAGTGTGATATTTAATTGGTAGGTATTTAATTTAAACCCCAAAACGTTGGTGCTCGCTCCAAGTGGAGAGCACCTGCCCAGGAGGAGTGTCCCAGCACACAGTATTCTCACTCTGGGAGCTCATCCTTAAGGAGGAATGAGACACTTGTCACTTACGGCACACGGGAATGTGAAATGCACCCTGCAGTGAAGTGCCGGGGGCTTTGCTGTTCATTTCTAATTTCTGGTTTGCAAGGTGCTGAAAACACTTCCAGCTCCGCCCACTCCTGCTACGTGCACCTCTGTGCCCTTCGAATGCCAGTTTTGGAAGAAGACAAAATGCCTCTTCTGCTTTGGGCTTTCATGCCGCTCCTGTCAGGGTGGCCATGCGAAGAGTCCACTCCTTATGAAATCTTGACCGTCACTTTCCTTCCTGAAGCCGTGCTGGCCCAGCTGGGAACGGCAGCCTTGCTGCCCAGTGAGTCCCTGGGCGCACACCGGTCTGGTGGGCAGGACCTCTTCTGTGCGCCTCCTTTCCTGTGGATCAGATGGGGATAGTGGAAGTTCTTCTACAGAAATGAGCTACCAAACCCTTCAAGGGTGAAATGCTCTTAAAATACCATAACAGTATTTTCACCAAATGTGGTAGCTGCCTGCCCAGATGACGTGATTAAAATCCACCCTTTCATCCGTCCACATGGGACTTCTCCTGGGGTTTTGTTGTCATGGGCCTTTTATTTGCACAGTTCAGCTTCCTTGCCTGGGTTGTATTTATATTGGTTTACTTTCATCTAATCTCTCAACTCTGCAAAGCCCTGAGTCAGGAAACCACACCGAGGATGAGGAGGAAAGGCCCAGCCCGTGTGGGTCACTGCAGCCCCACCACGGCCCCACCCCTGGTGAAGGGCGGGTCAGTCCGGACGTCCAGCAGCCACCTCCCAGCACTGAGCTCGGGACAGCGGGCAGAGGGGTGACTAAGACATCAGACTTGCTTATCAGGGGCTCACGGGGCGTTAGGGCAGACACACAAAACAGGTAGTCGTAGCTTACATGATGTTCATCAAACACAAATGAGGACCCTCTGTGTCAGGAGTTAGACTGGGTGCTGGGGAGATAGCGACCGGTCGAGTGTGGCTCCTGCCCCTGAGAAGCTCGCAGACCCTCGGACAGTGGGTACAAGCGGTGCGATGACAACGGGGATGCTTTGGGAACATACAGCGGCCGTGCCTAACGTGCCTAACGTAAGGTGGTGTCCGGGGGCAGCCCAGACAGAGGGAGGCTTCCGGGGGAGGTGGAGCTTCGCTGAGCCTGAGAGAGGAAGGGGCAGGTGAGGGGGAGGCATGTTGCTAGAGCCTGAGATGTGAAGGGCGCCTGGCAAGAGAGCTCTGCAGGGACCCTCGGCGGGCGTGTGTTTGCCTGCAGCCCGGTTGACAGTGCTTTCCTCCAGAGACCCTGCTTTTGCAGCTGGCTGTGACAGACTGGCATCGCATTCCTCCGTCACCTAGCTCAGCAGTCTCTGATTCTCAGGAGCTCTCAGTGCGGTAACGGGAACTCCGGGTTTCCTACTTTTAATTACGTTTCAGCGAATCACCAGGAAGCTTCAGACAGAAGTGCTCTGCTCTGTCATTCGCAGTAGAGAGTGACACATGAAGTCAACCTCCTGTGCCTTACCCAGATTTACCCCTGAAATGTTCACTCCTGCCCTTAGTCCTCATGATCACTGCCCCTTTCCCTATGGAAAGTGAGGAAATGGATTTATGTAATGACAGTGTCCTAGAGGAGAAATGGGTTGTGGCGGGTGATTCGTTGTTCAGAGAGTAAATATATTGGAAGTTTTTGTCACTAGGGCCGTTATTCTCTATACGGGCACAAAGTGGGGCTTTGGTGATTGTGGAAGTGCCAGAAAATCAAATTAAGGTTTTATGCGTTTGAATATTTGTGTGGATTCTGTCTCCACACAAGAAATTCAGCCTCATAAAGGGCCTGGGCTTTATCATGAAAGGATGGTAGATAGGTGGCAAAATGGACCGTTTTCCCCACCAAAGGGGGTTGGCTAATTACAGAGTTGGCATCAGCTGGGCACCAGCAGTTCCCTCTCCTTGTCGTCTGGAAAGCGTTAGTCATTTATACCCACCAGTGGCTTTGATGCTAAACCCAGAGACCAGTGGATCACTCAGCAAGCCTGTGCTGGTCCTCCTCGTGCCAGCTGGCGGCCCCGCCCTGGGGGAGCTGGGAGCGGCAGGCGCCCACAGCCAGTGCTAGTGAGGGGTGGGTCAAGCCAGATGGGGAAGCACCCAAGGTGAGGCCCCGCCCACCACGGGGCGCCAGGCAGGCTTGTCAGGAGGGACCAGCCTGGGTGTGGTGGAGGGACAAAGATGGAGCAGCCTTTAAACCTCGGGAAACACGTTCCAGGCATAAAATGCGCGTGGAACACGCTCCTCTTTTACTGTTTTCCTTGCAGGTTTATTGAACTAGAAAAACCGTTTGATTCACTTTCTTCCCCAAACACTGTCAGAGCCCCAGGCTTTATGCGCATGGAAGCCTTTCTCTGTGGCTTCTGGTGTCACTTGGAGGGAGCTGGCAGTGTCTGGGCCCCAGCCTCACCACTGTGCTGGGGACCAGGACAGGATCAGAGGCCTCAACTCTTGAGTTAAAGGGCCTGATCCCTTTTGGGGACACGCATGCCTCAGTTCTGCATCAGAAATGCCTGCATAGGCAACGCTTGGTGATCGGGACAGGGCTTGTTTTTCCTGCTGTCTTCCGCTCACTCAGGCAGGGGAGGCCTGTGTTTCCTGGAAAAAGTGTTCATTCCACCTGAGGCATTTTGTGTGTTCCCTGTGGACCAACAGAGGGTGCCGGGCACCCTGTGGTTGGCACCTTTTGTGTGTCCCTGGGCCCAACGCTGGATGCTAGTCCACACAGCAGCTTTCATAGACTTAGAATAGCCGTGTAGGGCTTCCCTGAGGTTTCCGCTGCCCTCGGTGACTAATAAGAGACCTCAGTACAGGACGCAGCGATTCTGTCGTCTTCGTAAGTTGTCTTCCGTCTGCTGTGATGGATGCTGGGCAGAGCATTTTAAACTAGGGCTGGGGCACGTGGAGGAAGCGAGGGCGAGGCTTCCTCGAGAGCGCAGGTGTTCAGACCAAACACAGCAAATCCTTCCAAGGCCTCCCAGCTTCGTCTTTACAATGAGGAGTGAGGGGACTTCCACGGCGACGCCTAGGAAACCATTCTTATTTGTAACTGGGCTTCCGTGAAACAAGACGATTTTCTGGTTGGATTCTAGCTGGCATCCTTGTGACTAATTCTCTAACGCTGTTATACTTTCCCTAGTGACTCAATAAGTATCGTGTGTGTGCGCGTGCTCGTGTGTGCATGTGTGTGAGTGCAAACGCTGGTGTCATAAACTTCAGTGTGGATCTCGAAGCCTTTGCTCCCTTGTTCATACTTGCAGCAAATCCTGCTGAAGCACCTGTGTCCCAGCCACCAGACGTGACACACACACTGGACACGTGTGCGCCCGTGTGATTATATCACTTTGAGTCCTTAGCGCTTTGCATGCATATTCTTAGCAAATTCTCAAGAAACACTTAATTGAGCCGGTGTTTTCGGGGTTGCCATGCTGCTCTCCCCCCTCCCAACAATGCCCGTGCGAATTTCTGAAGCAGGAGAGTAAATGCTGGCAGGTTCCTTCACTCTGGTTCCAGTTCTGACCCAGTGGGTGGTGTATGCCATCCGGAACCTTACCGAGGACAACAGCCAAAACCAGGACCTGATTGCCAAGATGGAGGAGCAAGGGCTGGCCGACACTTCCCTACTTAAGAAAATGGGGTTTGAAGTGGAAAAGCGGGGTGACAAGCTGATTCTGAAATCTAGTGACACCCCTCAGCCGGTAAGTACGCTGGCGTGGGCTGTACCTCCCTCAGTTGGTAGAAAGCGGTCCCCCCTTCCCCGTCAACCTTGCACGTGACAAGGTTCCTTCATGAGAACGTGGATGGGAGCATTTTGCTTTTAAAATTGCAAAGAATGCCCTAAATTTTAATTGCCAAGCATTTGTTTTCCAGGCTTTATGCTGCCGTTTTCTTAAAAGAGTTAAAACTGCAAACTCCTTCTAAGGGAGAAATATAAAAAGCCTAGCAAACTCTTCATGCGGCCCAGGAGTTTGTGATGGGAATTAGATTTTCTTTAAAAGATAGTTAATGTTGACTGCTGTGAAGAGAACAGAAAACGCCTTGTATAATATTGAAGGAGTCGTGTCGGGTTTCTCGGTTATTTCTGATCACAGTTCCTGGATGATTTTTCCTTTGATGATTCTTGTAAATAGACCTGTTATGTCTGCAATTTTGTTTCTTTTTTCTTTCTAGTGAACAAACGCTCCGAATACCTGAATTTTTGGAAACAGTTTCATGGATTTTTCATCTGCTTCGGTATGTGAAATTGCAAGTGTTTGAAGATAATATTAAGTACAAGTTCAGGAACTCGTGAATCTTTTAGGTAATAGAGTGAAATGTGTTTAAGCTTAAAAGTGAAAGTACATAAGTATTCTGTTGTTTCTTGGCATTAAAAATGTAGCTGTCTTGAATTGCTTTGTCCCCATGGATACAATGTGCATTTCAGTCATATATTGTACTTACTGTGGCAGCAAATAATAAACTTTTCTTGTGGAGGGCCTGTCCCTTATTCGGCAAAGACGCGGATGTTTGCTGGGATTCCATTTGTTCCTTCAGACGGCGAGTCAGCCTCATTCCTTTTCTTTTCTCGTCGGGTTTTCTGAACTCTGGCAGGCAGCCCAGGTGCTTTCTCGCTGTGATTAATTCTAGCCATCTCTTTTCAGCCCTTCTGCCTTCCCAAAACACTGACAAGACTCATTTCCAGCTAATTAATTCGAGAGATGCTGAAGAATAGAGCGCTCTCCCTCTTCATTTTAGGTACCGGGCTGTGAGGGCTGTGTTGTCACCGAGCCCTGTCCCTTTGGAATTTAGCGGGGATGAGAGAACATGTGGGCCATTAACTCTTCTTGTTCCAAATCCTCCTAGAATCAGAGTCTTCAAAACCCAGCATGTTTCAAAGCTGGTGCCTGCATCTTACCCACCTCCGTGTCTCTGTAAAGGGGTCGGTTCTGTGCACAGGGCCGCTGCGTTACAGGTTACATACACGTCGTCTCCAGTCTCGCAGAGGTGCACCCCTCAGTTTGGGCTGTGGCGTCACTGGACTTGCAAAGGTAGCCTTGGGGAGTAGGAGTCAATTTCACCAATATCTGTGTATATGTGTGTGTGTATATATATATATATATACACACGTGTGTGTGTGTGTGTGTGTGTGTGTGTGTGTGTGTGTGTATTCATCTTAGAGGTAGAACTGGATTAAGTGACCACAATCTTTGGAATCACCAGATCATATCAGAAAACACTGCTGGGAGATCACGTTGTGAATGCCTAAAATATACTATCTCCTTAAACGGCCATGTTACAAATACCTAGAGATGTGGCACAATTCATGTTGAACCTTCCAAAATAACAACGACAAAGAGCCAACCAGAAATTTTCCAGAAATACTGATTGTCCCAAAGTAAAGTGCTTTTAAGGTGTTTTTTTTTTAGCCATACTTATAAACTGCTTTGTAAAAACAGCTTGAGCATGTTAAGAATGAAATAAAAGTTTTCCCCTGTGCTGTCTAATGTACTCTGTACAATGCTGTAGAAATGTCAGCTCCTAGGATTGAGGTAATCTACAAATAACACTTTTTTTCCTCTCATTTACAACATTTCACCAGTAAAGAAGCCATTGTAAATTTTAAAAGGCACAAAGAAGTCATTCTCCTCTGGGACACAAAGAGTTAAAATCCTATCCTCTAAATGGCTGCCCGGCCAAAGGGAAAAAAAACAGTGGGAGTCCCTTTCTCCTTTTAACAAGTTTGCAAAGGACACTTCTGTTTTTCCTCTCTGAATGGATGTGTGCACACCAGTGGAATCACACAAACATGTCAGTATAAGCCATATAATAACACACAAATAAAAGAAGGCTTGTGCGAATACAGAATGGGGTAATGGCTGTGTGTTTTCTAAATAGGAAATGTGGGGCTTGCACAATGAAAACACGCTGGCGGCTGCATTGTGGCTGCTTTTTGATGCCCTCGGAGACATTGATTCTTGGGCACAAGAGCTTCGCTGTCCTCCAGCAGCGGCCTGGGAGCTCCTGAGAACCTTGTCTGACAGGCTACAGAGGAAACCAGCAGCTCAGTCAGTCATCCCGAAGTGGAGACAGGCGGGCCCGCCTCCCCAAGTGTGTAAAGGGACGGGATGGTCATAGCAAGTGTTGTGACCACGTTATTGCTTCCAGGAGCAAACTGGCAAAGCAGTTCGGTTTCTTAGCCTGCTTCATTTGAAAAGAGAGCAGAGAAAGGCTTTCTGCTTGACATCACGTCCAAGTATTTGCAGAATGGTTTTTTAATACCATAACAATGGATGCTCATACTTCAGAAATACTTACTTTCACCATTTTAGTAATACACCGTTAGAATTCATCCATGATCTATACACAAGTAGATGTATCTATATGTATATCCATATTAACACATCTCTGGGTTTGGATTTGGGGGGAAGCTAATATTGAGATGCATTTTTGTCCAGTAACTTCTGAATCTTAACTGCAGGACTTTGCAGGCTACGGAAGGATGTCCATTTTGCCAAACAGGATATAGAGAAATAATTGAGGTCGTTTGGGCTACCCACTAGTAAATTTTAAATCAAAATTTAATATTTTATGTACGAGCATGTACATCTTGTGTCCATTATCTAAGTCTTTGGCATTGATATGCTGCTCTTAAAACACCTATGATTTAAATATCATTTACGTGATTTTTTACTGTCCTTTAATTTGTGTTCTTGAGTGAACAAAGATGTTGGAATAAAAACACCAGTCTTTGTAGGAGGAAAACTTTTAAAAACTACATAGTCCATCATTGGTAAGTTCCACACATAAATATAAAGGAATCAATTTTTACGTAAGCAGCAGTAAAATTGAGACAGAAAATGCAGAGAAGTTGAGAGAGGAAGAACCTTAACATATAAGATCTAATACAAAACCGGTCCTTGAGAGAAAAAAGGCCCTCTTGGTGCTGTCCAAGGTTCTGATAATTTCAGCGGCACTGGCCCGTATATGGAAAATCAATTAAAAACCTTGTTTTCAAATTTGAGATTCCCCCCTTACATGTGTATGATATAATACCTGTTTTCTTCTTCCCTGCACATTTTTATAGAGTTATTTGGATTTTTTTTTAATCTTATTTAGGCAAAATTTTACAATACGAGTTTGATTCACCATCTACCCTATACATGAATTTTAAAAGTTAGCTCTTTCTGTAAATGTGGTGGTGGTATTAACTCATGCATCCAGAGTCAGCTATGCCAAATGGACATGACTTTGAAGCTTTCAATAATTGTTAACTCTTGTTTAAATTAAAACAAATTAGAAACATTTAGTGAAATGTGTCTTTTTGTTTGAACAACATAATATGCGTTCTTTGTACAGAGTTGTATCCTGCTTACTTCAGTTAAGCAGCAGCTTAGGTTGTGCTGCACGCCGTGGGTGTGATTTGCCAGCTCTGCGTAAAGCGTGGTGGTTGAGAGCAGAAACTCTGTAGCAAGTGTCTCCTCCAGTCGCCCCTCCGTGGCTGCCTAACTGGGCAGAGTCCTTAGCCCCGTGTGTCCATTTCCTCATCCTAACACCACCGACCTGTAGGAGGGTGAGGACAAAGAGAAATGGCTACGAGGTGGCTACGACAGTCCCTGACGCGTGGTGAGAGCATTCGCCAATGCTGGTTATTCTCATTAGCAGAGTGACATGCGTTTTTAAGCACTTAAAGCTCCCGCTGTGAGCATCTGATACCAGTGCACGGAAGCCATCTTGTCTCCTGCTTTTCCTGTTACGGTGCTGGACATACAGTCGGTGTTTACTAAGTGCATCTTACTTCTTTGGCAGATTTCTTGTATAATGCCGTCTGTGTACCACGCAATATTCTACAAAACATTAATCATTTAACCCTCAGCAACTATACAGTGTGTTCAGTATCGATCCCATTATATGGATGAGGATGTTCAGTGGCAGAGGTTAATGCCAGGGTCACGCGCAGCGACTGCCTAGCGATTAATTGCTGTCGTTAATTAGAAGGCAATGAGTGAAGGAAAAAAATACGGCTTCTTTCCCCGGAAGCACATAAAGTGAATGTGGCAGAAGAACCTAGATGGGGGTTCTGGACGGAATGCAAGAGGGTCCCACAGGAAGAACGTGGGCTCTGCTGTTAGAAAGTCCCAAGTCCACATCTCAGCTCCACTCCTTGCCAGCTGTGTGGCCTCGAGCAAGTTTCTGAACTACTCTGAGCCTAAGTTTCCTCCCCCAGCAGTGCCAGGCAGGCACTGGGGCGGCCACAGTGAAGAAGACAGATGGTCCGTGGTCTCAAGAGCTAACATTGCAATGAGAATGACGGAAAAGTAACAAGTGCGCAAATAGGTAAACAAGCGTCATATCTTGTAATAAATGCCATCAAGAAAACGAGGGGATGCTACGAGTGGTCACTGGGGTGGCCTTTCAGAGGCAGTCACACCTGACCTGAGGCCAGAGGGTTGAAAAGGTGCCATCTGTCCAAAGAACTGAGCAGGGGGGCAGGGGAGGAGCGTTCCAGACCGTGTGCAGAGGCCCCCAAACTGACAGGCTTCCCATGGTCCAGGGCCAGGAGGGTGGTGACGGGTGGAGGGGCTTGAGCGAGGCTAGGTCAGAGGGGTGACCGGGTGTCAGATCAGACGGGGTCTTCAAGGCCATGGGGCGAGTTTGGGTTTGACTTGAAGTGCACTGGGAAGGATCTGAAAAGTTCAGCAGAGGAGTGAGAAGGCCGCCTTCACCTTCTCACTGAGCACGCTTGCTGCTGGGGAGAACGAATCGGAGAGCAAAAAAGAACGGAAGGAGAGAAGTGACTTACCATTGAGGAAGGTGATTTAGACAAGCGTATGGAGAGATTTGAGTTTGATACTTGCGTTGGAGGTAGAACTCATAGGTTTGCTGGTGGAGTAGTTGCTGAGGATGGAGGTAAATGAACTAAACAAGAATAACGCCTAAGGTTTTGTTGAACAACTGGGTAGGTGACTATACATCCACTGAGGTGGGGCAGTTGGATGTGAAGGATTCCTTGGGGCAGAGAGAATCAAGAATTCTGCTCTGGGCAAACTAGGTTTGAAATGCTTTTGAGGCAGCCAAGTAGCGGTGACGTTTAAGGAGTTGGATGTACAGATGAGCTCCGAAGGCAAGTCAGCACCGGAGATCACATTTGGAGTCCTTGGTTTTACGTGCAGGTGATATTTGAAGCCTCGGAAATAAGTGAGATTGTCTGTGGAGACAGTGGATAGACAGGAGGGCACCGCTAGCCCACACTTTACATTATACATAAGGTTCTTTCATAGGTGACAAAACCCTCATAAAAAGAAATGTAACGGCTGCAGCGTCAAAATGCTGTGTCACGGATGTAACCGTTCTATAACCATTACTAGACGTTTTGTATTCTGTTTCTCATAAATGCTGCAGTGGTCATCTTGGTGCGTTAGCTTTCTCCACGTTTCAGGTCGCGTGCAGTGGTGGGGCGGCGGGGAGGGCAAGGACGAAAGAGGAAATTGGGCTAAAGATTTTCTCAGAATTATTTATGTT